TGACAAGTAAATTAAGTATATGTCTCAACTGCATTTTCTTTGCATAAAAACACACGCAACCGGGAATTGCCGCACATAGCAACTGTCTATTTTACTGGAAAAGGAGATAAATAATTCTGTTCGACTGTCCGAATTGATTAGTTGTCAGGAATCTTCACGCTGGAGCCCGTGGGAATGGATGAGCATGGTGTTTATGTGCTTTAGGATAAACGGCTGCCTATAAAGCTGGCGAGGCCATAAATACGTCCACAGATTGTCTTGAGAGCGCATCGTAATCCTTGTTGATAGTCAGTTGCCGGGAAGAGTAGCTGCAAGCAGACCATTCTCCTCCAATAGATGTCAATCAAAGGAAGGCCGGTCAATGAGGCAACAGTTGGCATTACTCACGCAGGTCCCTTTCACTTCTGATAGTGAGCGTACAGATGGGCACAGATCGTATAATTATGAATCAATTCAAAGTCTTAAATTAGGAAAAATGTTTGATATGATGCACAATGCCCGTTTTTGTCACTAGATGGCAGTAAATGTTCATTAATAAACCGTGTTTAAAACTCACGCATTGCATAACGGGGAAAATGCGCCTCGTTAATGCTGTGGGAAATATTTAGTGTGGAAACACCAACATTGGGTCAAATATTAACAAACCCAACGTTTGCTTTTTTACATTAAGTTTTATTTAATTTTTTTAATCCAACTGTTGGGGTTGTTCATATTTAACTCAGATGTTAATACAATTCAGCATTTAGGGTGCACGCGTTTGATGCACTTAAATCTAACCTAATATTATTAAGAATAGGCTATTCATTGTTGATTGCACAATATATTGAATTATTTGTATTTGTTTCAATTTTTGTTCCTTTGTTGTGTCTATTAGGATTTACTAATTATAATGGTGCTCCTTGGTAGTTGTTTTAGTTTCTTTGTAATTAATTATTTTGTCGGGTTATATAATAGTATTAATTGTTTTTACAAAACATGTTAGTATATGTTCTGTTTGCATGCTTATTATGTAGGATATCATTTCAGAAAATCGGAATATAAATCTAAAATGTTGCTCCCATTGTGATCACCAGGCTACTTCATCAATTTATTATAATTTATATCAATACAAAAATATTTCAAAGTGATTTTAGCTAAATAACATACATTCGGATATATTTTTTTCTTTGTTACTCGGTTATATAATCGTTGAAACTGCCTTTTCCCTCCATTGACTACAAGAGGCAAACGTAGAGTCCTGCGCTCGAGCTCGTGCAGCCTGCAGTTTTTCCGCGAGCGCGCGCTCGGTGAGGGCATAAAACTCAATCTTGGCTGTGCTGCGAGCACTTCAATTACTAAATACCCTTTCACTCAAAGCACGCGATACACAACATATGAATGATTCTGATTTATTTATAGGATAGCGATGGATTTTTATGACTGACGAACAGACATGCTAGATCAGCACAACGTCTTTCCCCAGAGAAGAGTTTAATGAGAGTTTTCACCATCAGCGTCTTGTGGCTTGGGTCTAGTTTTACTCCTAGCTTTTTTCAGTGCTTGTTTAAGTCATATCCAGTGTTTCTATGCTGTCTTTTGCGGCTTTGTAGACAACAATAGGATTGACTATCAAGAGATTTTGTTCTCTGCAAAATAAGATATGACAGGCTAGCCTAAATCATAATGGTGCTGATCTGATGTTCAAAAATAGCCATCTCAATTGGCATAATTAGAAGTTTGCTAATATCTTTCAGTTAGATCACCTTTCACCGTTATGCTATTTTCATAATAGTTGTTAACTGGGATACTTTTAAAACCATTTAGGCCTGACGTGATGTTATTAACGTTGTTTTTTTAAAGCCCTTTTTTCCACTTCCATTGATTTCACAGTAATCATACATTGTTGCTGTTGGACATAGAGCCCCACCGCAGATGTGTGAATACTGCTCGCCAAGCAAAGCCCCAACCTATATATTTTCTGCGGATTATTCGGCAGCTTGCAGGGGATCCACATTTGTAAAGGAATTTGAATAGGAATTTTTTATTGCAATATGTTGTGGTTTTTTCCTCTCGATCAACCCGAATTGTCTTTTGGCGCCCTTTACGCAAACCTTTTAAACAAATACATCATTTGTGATAGATTTGCTAAACTGTAAATGCAGAGTTCCATACAATTCATTCATGTTGTCCCAACACAAATCGATTAAGTTTACTTAACAAATGTAAGTAGGTTGAACAGAAAACAATTAAATTCTCAAAAACAAAACCTCAAGAATTATGTTGTTTCAGCTCATTTAGAATAAGTAGTTAGAGCAAACAGCAAGCTATTTTCTGTGTAATGTGATAAATAATGACGTTGTTTATTTTGTCAATAATTATATTTTACCGAACTTAAGTAACGCTACTGTTTCTATTGCAAGCGTTCATTAAATTTAAAGTGTGTAATTATTACCTTATAATTTAACTTTTGTGAAATCTGAAGTTATTAAAAACACTTTTAAGAAATACTGATTAAGACAGCTCAACCAGCGCACAGATGTGCCAACCAGCGGCTGTAAAGTTAAAAATGCATATGTAATAAAATACGAATTGCATGCACAGTGTTTGCTGCAGCCTGGTCTACCCCCTCTCTCTGCCGTGAAGCCTGTGGTTACGGAATGTTTCCGCTTGTTTGAAGCGGAGAGGCTGGGCAGAGGGAGTCGTTGGCAAAGTCTCCACGGATGAAGAATGCGCCCGTGTTCATTCGGTCTCCCGTTACGCGCACCTCCTCATAGGGGCACTGCTCGCCGGGGCACCGCTGCTTTTTCTGCCTTGTGCAGCCTGCTCCTATTTTTTTCCCTGCGTAATGTTTTCTGCCAAACCAACAAGCATTATGACTTTGCCGAGTTAAATAGTACCGATAAGTGATGCCAATATAATTATATTAATTAAATGACCGGCGTGAATCGGTTTTTACGGTCGTAAAAACTGTATTAAAATAATTCTTACCCTTGCTCAGCACATTTTTCTCTGCATCATTTTTCTTTCCTTTTCACCCTTGTTTATTATTTTGAGTATTGATGTAAAACTTTGCAATATGATTTATTATTATTATTTAATCATTATTATTATTATTCATTATTATTATTACTAATAAAAAAATAATTACAATTCTGTCTGTATTTTTCTTAAATAACGGTGCTTTGGTATCTTTTTGAGTGAAATAATAATATCCAGATTCCTTGATGTTGCACTCAATTACAATCCCAGACATTATATATTAAATAATTCAGCCTATTTCACACTCTCCGATACATCTGCACTGTTTTGATTTCGAGTTTGAGGGGCAGCCGACAGGATGTAGCATTGATAAATATCCCTGTTGATCACTTGATTGATTACCTCGCGCAAAGGTCACGCGGGCGCGCGGTAATTTCCTTGTGCCCGCGGCTCCCATTTCACTTTCAGTCTGGCGCGAGAGCCCCCGACTTTACAAATTATGTTTTTTATTTTAACCCTTCCCTTTCCTCTTTAACATCTCGCCAAACGACCTTCTGTGCTGTACATCAAACGACAGAAGAGGGCAAACCTTTAATTAGGATGGAGTATTAATCACATAAGGTAAACTGCATCTTCTCTGTTTGATGGGGTTGAATTTAAACCCGGCGACAAGCTAATAATTTAGCCGCATTTCCAAAGGGGTTTTGGCCTCAATTAATTTTCAATAATTACAGCCCACGGGGTCTTGACTGATCCTCACACCAGTGCGCCAGCTATACGCCATCTCTGGCCGACGGGGTCAGAGTATCCTCATAAAATATGTCCCGTGGAAAATAAGCACGGTAAGAGATTGCGAATGGATAAAACTCTTCTAATGCCAATGTATGGTTAAGCAAAGTAGAGGTAGCCACAACTGCACTGACAGCCATCCCCCCCCCCCAACCCCCCCCCCCCTTTCTCTCTTGCTCACACTTTTTTTTCTTCTGTTTTTGTTTGTCTTACAGAAGTTGCATGCAGTGCAATGGTGTACTTATTCTTTTGTGCATATATTTTATTTAGTATAAAATAATAACAAATTATGTTTTATATAACTTTTATATATTATATTGTATATATATATATTATATTTTGTGTTTCAATCTAATAAGTTGCATGCATGTATGTGAATAAATATTGGCCCATTTTATTGTTCTTTTGATATGCAAGACAAATTCTTATTTGGGCAATTTAGCTGAGTTTTAGATCAATTCTAATATGGCTTTATTAGATATCAAGATATTTTTAATGATCACTGATATTTGATAATTGCATCATGATTTGTATATTTAAAGAACCATCATTTTCTCCTCTTCTGTTTACTCTTGTGGGTTTTATTCGAGTAAGCTTTAGTAAGTGCTGGTCAGCTCAGATAGTCGTGGGCGGCAGCTGATGTTTGTTCTGCGCCATTCATTTTTATGCAGAGTGATGTCAGATTAATTGGATCCGTTTTAGAAATACTTAGCAATCAATACCGCCAGTGAGGGGCAAGCGACCCTTTTAAAGGTTCATGGGCAAGGTCAACGTGATGTCACGCGCTTCTAATTAATGGACAATTAACTTAATGACCCAAGAGTTTCACAAATTCTCACCCGTCTTGAAAACTAATAATAAATAACATAAAGCTAATAAATTCGTTATACAGGTCCAGGATAATTTATCATATCAGATAAAGGTCTACAGTGCAATACATTTAATTTGAAGATTGCTGGACATCGATGAAAAGGCATCAGAGATCACATTTCATTTCACATAAAAATTAGAGTAGCCTATATTTGTGATAAACAACTCAACTGCTACCTGATAACATTAACACCTTTGTTTTACACACTTGGAAATAATTGATTGTTTTACAGTTTTCATTTTTTAATTCTGTATCAGTGTATTTGGTCATTAACTGGCATTAAATCATAAAGAGAGAGACTAAACTTTACAGATTAATAATTGTCGCATAAAGGAAAAAAATATTCAGCGGGCTGCCCTCGGTACAGACTGCCCACGCGCCTGCTGAGGGAGGGGGAGAGAAGTAAAAGTTTATCATTTTCATAAATTCATAACGATGGTCAAGTCTCAATTAAACAACATAAAACGTTTAATGAAAACGTTTTACAATAGTCATTTACCCGAACAGTGATTAATGCGTCTTCATTTAAAACACAAAAGACCGGGCGCCTTGGACGCTCGAGACTGCTTCATTATAATTAATGTCTCCGGTTCCTCGTGCACCCGGAGGTCGCGAATAGCTCCGTCCCGCGCCCACTGATCTCTGAAGATCTGACACGAGAGGGATCTCGCCGGCTATTGCAACCTGACAAGATCTGTAATACTTGGGTGATGAATCGTTCCAAACTTTTTTGACGATGCTGGCAGCTCGGGGCTGTGCGCATGTGCGAAGGTGTCCAAACTGACAATGCTGGAGAGATAGTGCGTCTGGGATTGAGAATCACAGAGAAAAAGGACAGAGGAAAAAAGAAAAAGGAGGAAAAGATTCGAGAAAAAATCCGACGAACCCACGCCGAAAGACGGGCATCATGAGGTCCAAAGGCAGGGCAAGGAAACTGACCACTGGTAGGTGCAACATCTCCTTTTTAGCCCTTTTCAAACTGCCATCTTGTCCATGTTTATGATGCATAGAAACATTTTAGTCTCTAAACAGTTACAGTCAGCAGAGCCCAGCAATATTACTTGCTTGCGGAGGTTGAGGAAAAGCTAAACGAGAAGCGTCGCTCGCGATCGGACATGGCAAACCTAGATTCGAAACTGGCATCAAAGTTGCGCGTGGCGCGCAAACTTTTTAACTATCGCATGCTGTAATCGCGTTCTCTATTCGAGCCCCGAGCGCCCCGGTGTTCGATAAAAAAACACCTCCGTGCAAGTTTCTACGGCTCCGGTCACATCAATTTGCAGCAGCGACTTTGAAAAGACAGCTTCGCCTATAGTCGACAACAGAAAGCCAGCTGCGGAGGCACGCTTTTAAATGCAAACAGGTAGCTTACCATCTGATGTTACGACAGGCAATCTAATGAACTGCACATATGCTAGATTAACAGGACTGTGATAAAAAAGTGCTTTGAAGTATTTTTGATTTGTGGACATTTCTTTTTTTTTCCCTGTGCAATTGTCGAAAGTGGTTGTGCAACAAGTGATCAAATCCCGTTATGAATTTTTGTTCCGGTATGAACAGCCTGGAGAAATGTTTTTGTTTGTTATGGCCCTCTAAACGGTCGGCTGTAATCTTAGCTTTTGATTACGGGTTGCCTTAGGCGCTTGTTTGAGTTGACGTTCAATGCGTGTGTTCAATGCCACGCCACAACACAAGCTCAAACGCCGAAACTCAACATCAAGTAGTTAGTGGGAAGCTGTTCCCCTCCTCAATAGATTTATTCGGAACGAATGTATTTCGCTCAGGTCTGTGAATAATTCGGCCCCCTCGTGCGCAGTGGGCTGCAGAGTCTGATTTGAGCAATTTTCTTAACTTTTCTTTTTTGTTGCTCTTTTGCAATAAACAACGAAAATCCATGCAATATTTCCATATTTCACAGTGCTTATAGGCATCGGAGCAGAGATAAAAGTTTTTTTAAGCTCAAGTTTCACTATATATACTGTAAACCTGAGAAACTCGAAAGAAAACAAACAACATGCCAACTAAAGTATTTTTTGCAGCCTGCGTATATTATTTTTTAATCTTTTATTATTTATGTTTGTTTTTAGTAATAGACTGACATCTGCTCAAAAACTTTAATGTTGTTTCTATGTGCCAAGGTAACAAAAGAGGCAGTGAAAACAAAGTATAAGATCACTTTGCTCTTGAATTATTGTTTCCTTTCCTGTCGACAGCACTGTGATGGGCTAGACACTGCGCGCACTCCGTCTGGACAGAAACAGGGGTCGTGCGGGTCTTATCCGTTCAATAAACTACCTCTCAAGCCCTATGCCCTGCCATTGTACAATGAGAGGGTTTTTCTGCGAACAGCAGCAACTTGTCAAACATACTCACGTGCACACACACTATCGTCCACACATCTATTCACAAACTTCAATTTCACTTTGGTGTTTTCCAGCTGATGCAGGTAACCCGTCACTTTTTAAGAAATGTGTGAAATTGCATTATACGAAAGAGATTTTAAAACAAACCAACTGTTTGCCATTGATTTATTGATGACATTTATTAATTTACAGTCAGCATCACAACTCCACTATTTTATTCAATATTTAGTAAAATATTTTTTATGTTCCTATCAACTACATTTTTTTTATTATTGCCATGATCTACAATTTAACGTGGTGTCTGCACAACCATATGCAAATTACTTTTTATTATAATATTCTGTTCATAACTTAAATCAGACAAAATGACGTTGCAGGCCGGCACTTTTTTGATGCAAGTCGAGTAAGATTTTTGCCAATATTTTTTAGACCCTCCCACTGACTCCCATCATTATTTAGACTACTATCTAAGAAAATCGGAATGATTATCAGGGGGTGTATTTAAAGATTATTATTTACCCAAGATATAAGAAGAAGATTTCTACCTATTAAGTGAAAGGGAGAGAATGTTCTGGACCGCGCGGGTCCCGCGAGACCCTCGCCTCTCTGGCCTCGCGCCAGCCCAGCACTATGTCAACATTGAATATTTAAATTCCCAGACTCCTCATAACGGGGCCCGTCTGCCGGTAAAAGCGCGTTCAGCGTCAGTCTGAGTAGCTGCGGACTCGGTTTCCTTCAAGGGGGAAAAAAGGAAAAAAGTAATCTCCTCTCCGTGTGGCCTCTGCCGCGCGCGCTCACCGCACATCACTCTGCCTGCACGCGCTCGCACTGATGTGTGTGAGTGCTGGAAAGGTAATAAAAATCGGTCGTTTAGCTGGTGTGTGTGCACGACATGTTTTGTGGATTTGGCCAGCGGTGCCGGACATTTCACCTGCAGGTCCAACAGTCTTAAATTGTCTATAATGTTTTAACACACCGTGCCAAGTGTCCTATATCCCTCAGCATGATGTTGCAGGTTTACTATGAATGGAGTAAAATTACACCTCTTGAACAAGAATAATAACATTGACCTGCCAGAAATCGGACGTGCTGTCAGTTAAAACCCTAGCAATGACATTCGGACGCTTGACACCTTTTATTGCACTTTTAATTATATAGCATTATTCACATATGAAAGCCTGCCAACATGTCTAAATACAGTATTGCAAATGGTTTTATTTCTGATTAAAAATAACGTCTGTTCAAGAAATCAGATATACTGTTAGTTTAATTAGCAAATAAACAAATTGTACTTTTAATACCTAAAAATTATTTATAAGTATATGAGAAATATGAAACATGCGTTAAAGAAGGTAGTGCAGAGTATATATATATAATCATATATTAAATGGATTACTTGCCATGTTTAAAGCAATTAAATATGTTGCCTGGACTGTAGTAGGTAATTTACAGGAAAAATTAATGCATAAATTATTGTAGAGATTGTTTTACAAGTGAGGGAAGCTACTAGAAATATGTAATAATGCAAGTCACGTTTATTATTAATTATTCACAATTTTTAGATGCCCAGCATTACATATAAAGTTCACTCTGAAGAATTAAACTTGATGTTTTTAAAACCGTAATCAAATCAGAAACATTTGGGCCTTAACTATCTGATTCCTCGTTTGATGATAATTATATCTGATAAGCTGCACATGTTCAGCAAGACTTTAAGATTGTCCTTTTGTCCCGTTCTGCGTCTTCGACAGCTCCATCAGTTTCACGCCACGACTTTTGTTTTGACTTTGATGTGACTCGCTTTACCGTGAAAGTGTCCAAACAACGAAAAATCAACTGGACGCTGAAAAAGAAAAGCTCCAAATTTAACAATGTGACATTCCGCGTGAGTGAAGCGCGTGAGAATATAAGCCCCGCGCGCGAGCATTCTCTCCGCCTGTCAGCGCGCCACCACAGTCCGCTTCTTCACAGATACAGGCGCGCGGTTGATTCTGCATTGTGCAATGGGCCGTGCTGCGTCCCGCGTCCGCCGCCGCCCCTCATTATAGAGCCTATTCAAAATGGGGTGAACGGATCGGGCCATTTAAAAAGGTGAGCGCGAAGCGTATTAAACACTCGTTCGTCGTCTGATTCTGAATATCTCGAGAGTTTAGTGGAAATAATGATGTCTGTGAACAGTGAACCACATCTCCTCATAGCAACTTTTTCAGAGGGGGCTGAGGAAAGCAAGAAAACAATTGTTTATGTTGTCTTCACTTCTCAGACTGCGAAAAAATCAAAATCTACAATGTTAACTTCTCAGTTTTTGTATACCTCTCAAGTAAATATTTTCTCTACTTCTCTTTCTCTCCTCTGGCATGATATTCTGCAGAGTTTTAAGTTGAGTTCCTGGAATTGTGATGCTTTCCCTTTGGAGAAATCCTGTGCCTCTTTTCAGACTGTCCACTCTGAAAAGATCAGTGGGCCTAAAACGGAGAACTTTTGTTTCAGAGACAAAGTCAAAGTGACCGATGAGTTAATTACGAGTAAAACAGTGGGCCGTGATGGGGTCAGTTTGAAACAAGCCTAGCTTTTCCCAGGCATTGAGCGTGTGCATCTGCGTAAGATGGAGAGGGCTGCAGACCACTGTGGGTTTTGATCATGATTGATCACACGTTCTCAAAGGATTGATTGATTAGCCAGAAGCCGCTGGGTTTAGCAGAAAGGTCCACTTATGTCCTGGGAAATTATCCTCTGGTCTGTTTGTCTGAGATTTCATCAGAGAGAAAACAGGAGGAGATGAGATGTACGAGGAGATATGTGTAAGATGTATGTTTGATTCTTTGAATTGTGAGTCCCGTATACACACACCAACGTAAGAAGCGATTTCCTTGTATATGTTAGAAGAGGAAGGACTGGATGTAGGTGACAACAACACAGTTACCCTCATCCATCAACACCCTTATAATACCACTACTTTCTCTCCTTTCTTTCTCTCTCTCTCCCTCCCTAATGACTCAACGAGTGTCTGCGTCTGCCCAGAGTGAATTGAAATGGCCGGGTCAACGGTTTATTTATCTTGTGCTCTGATTGGTCAGGGGTCAGGTCATATGGATGTTTATTTGGAAATTTGATTGGTGTGACTGATGGATATGTCGTTTGTGTCCCTCAGGGAATTATGGGGGTTGTTGTTCAGTAAGTTCAGTCACTTTTTATCCCCGAGCGACAGGTCCTGAATCAGTCTACCAATGCTCAGTCTTGACTGCAGTCAGCATTAAGCTTGAGCAGAGCACAGGCAACAGGCCAGGCCAGTAATAAGTCACTGTCAAGCCAACACCCACGGAACCATCAGATGTCACTGTTTGACTGGTCTTGACTCATCTTTACTTGGGCAGGATGCATTAGTCAAGTTAACTAGGATTTGCAGCTCCTAAAAGACAACACTTTTTAGAGAAAAAGTAGCCCATTAGTTAAATGATCCAACCTATAGGTTTCAGATATTTTTAATAAATGAAAATGTGAATTTGTTTGAACATTTACTAAACCTAGTTAAACGATGGCAGTCTGTGTTTCTGCTTTCTATCAAAATGATTGTATTTATG